GCAGGCGCTGCCGTTGTTTTGTTGCAGGAAGTGGGAGTGCATCCCTCCGCCAAGGATGAGAAGGAGGCTAAGGTTAAGAGCTGGTCGTGGTCAGCCATGTTTAGTCCTAGCCCAATCACTGAGGCGGGGGGGTTATCATCAGGTGTAGGCATTGCTGTTCCAGTTCATGTTGGGATGTCTGCCTCTCCGTGGAAAGGGGGGCCCCTGCCATCGGCCCCGAGGATCACGATGGCATGGGTTAACAGTATCATCCCAGGGGGGTTCCTCGCTGTCTCGCTGTACTTGCCTACAAGGGACCCTCTGGGAGATGTCGGTTCGCAGGTCTTGTTTCGATTGGGGGAAGTGCTTCACTCTTTGCGTCTACCGTTTGTGGTTGGCGGAGACTGGAACTGCCCACCTTCGCAGCTCAGAACGTTTGGCTGGGTTAGCAAAGTGGGAGGACATATTGCAGCATGCGGGGTAGCCACGTGCAGGAAAGGACATGTTTGGAGGGAGCTTGACTTTTTCGTGGTCTCGTCTGGTCTAGCCCCATCAATCGAACGAGTTGAACGAGTGCAGGGCTCATGCCTTGCACCTCATTACCCAGTTGCCTTGCGGTTGCGATCACATCTTGTACGCACTGAGTATCTGGCGCTGGCAGGTCCCTGGAGGTTCCCAACTCAGGCTCCGCAGTTGCCCATGCCTGCCCCGCCTGATTGGGGGCCCGTTGAGGATGCTATTCTTCACTGGGGAGAGGACGCGACGCATCCGAGCGAGCGCTGTGGGCAGGCAGCTATGGATCGAGTTTGCCAGATGTTCTATGATCTCGTGGAGACGGAACTCATTTCGGTCCATGGGCTCCAGGGCCCAGGCGAGAGGAAGTATCGCGGTCGGGGACAAGGCTGGAAGTTGCGCAGGGTGCAGTAGCTGCAGACTTCAGGAGGCCCGTATGCTCTATCTTGTGCTAAGGCTCGTGGGTGGAGGAAGGTCTCGATTAGATTTCAGGAGCTGGCTTGCATTGCTCGTCAGGCGGAAGGTCTTTTCCCGCAGCATTGCATGCAGTTGATTTCTAAGATCTTGGGCAGTCGGCCGCCTGACGAAGAGGTTGACTTCTGGAGACGTTAGCGCCCGTCGTTCGAAGGCATTCTGGCTCTGACAGATGGGCAGCTGGATGAGTATTCGAGAGGGGCAGCCTACTTCGCCTCCTTGCTGGAGCAGGCCTTTGCGAGGGCCCGCTACGCAGCTTGGAGGAGGTGGGTTGCAGAAGCATGTAAGCACGGAGCGGGAAAAAGCCCACCGTTTCACGAAATCACCCGTGGGATGGAAACCGTCGGCGCCAGGACCTGACGGGGCTCCTATGGGGCTCGGTGAGCAAGTCGAGGCGTTGCAGCATGAGTGGAGTGAGATCTGGGGAGCATCGGCGCCCTTGGAGGACGTGGTCAAGGATTCCGCCGAAGAGAATCTCGACCCACTCAAGTGCCTGTCCCTCATGCTGGAGAGGGAAGGCATCGATCCGCAGGAGGCCGCCAGCATCCCGCCATTTGATTGCCACACCGTCCGCAAGGTGGCAAGGACCTTCAAGGAGCGGACTGCTGTCGGGGCAGACAGGTTGAGCCCTCGTGATCTCGTGTATTTGTCTGACCGCTGCCTCGCAGTCTTGGGCTTACTATGGCGCTGGATGCTTGACACGGGCAGACTTCCGTCTCAGGTTTCCTTGATTATGATTGCAATGCTCGAGAAGCCCGAGGGCGGATTTCGGCCCATTGGTCTCCCTTCCACCATTGTGCGAGTGTGGGGGCGCTGTGCCAGATCTGTAGCTCGTGAATGGGAGAATAAGAATAAGCGTGGCTTCTTTTATGGAAGTGCAGGCATGTCTTGTGAACGTGGGGTCTGGGAGCAGGCCTTTACTGCAGAGCATGCTCGGATTACGAACACTTGTGCAGGTGCGGGCCTCCTCGACTTGTCCAAGGCGTGCGAGAGAGTGTTGCATGGACATTTGATCGATGTGGCCCAGATGACGAATTTCCCTTTAGACATCCTACGCTTGTTGCTGTATGTATACCGCTGCCCTCGTCTTTTCGTGGTTGGCCAGGTCGCACCTGCACCAGTAATGACAGAACAAACGATTGTTGCAGGGTGTACATTCGCCACGACGCTTCTGAAAATGTTGTTGATTCGCATGGTGGACTGCGTGATGGCCAAATTTCCCTTTGCACGTGTGTGCAATGTGGTAGATGACATCGCGGTTCGTGTTCGCGGTAGCAGGAAGTTTGTGCGTGACATGTTGCCTATCGTCGTCGGATTCACCTGCAGGAAGCTGGAGGAGTTGGACCTGGTTCTGGCCAGGGCTAAGGGCAAAATCGTGTCGACTCACAAAGATGTGGTTCAGAGTTCCGAGAGGGCCCTGGCCAGGTGGGGGTTCATTGGAGCCTCGGTGGTGAGAAATCTTGGAGTGAATTTCACCATGGGAAAGGCCCGGAGGAACCCCGTCCAGAAGGCCCGAGTGGCCAAGCTCAAGCGTAGGGCCCACCGTTTCCGAGGGTTGAGATCGTCCTTCAAGAAGTTGACCAGGCGCAGGTGCCAACCGAGCTGGACTCTACGGGGCCTCGGTCACTGGAGTGTCGGACAGGTCCCTCCAGCAGCTGCGCTCGGTGGCGGGCGAGGCGGTGTTCGGGCAGGCCAAGGGCAGGAGTCGCACGATTGGTTTCATGTTATCGCCGACGCCGCTGGCCGACCCAGCGTATGTTGCGAACTCCGCCCTCCCGATGTCTTGGGCTAATGCGGTGCATCTGGGCTGGGCTCCGCATGATGAGATGAAAGTTGTATTCGAAGGACTTTGTCAGACGGAACTAGGTTGGCAGCAAGTCACAGGCCCTGCGGGGGCCATGTTGATGACCTTGAGACGTCTTGGGTGGCGACCTAGGAGTTGGGACTGCTGGGAAACGGACACTGGTCTCTGTCTGGATCTACAAGCATGCGGGAATCGGACGGTGAAAACGATTGTGGACGCTGGCACGAAGGACATGCTCCTTCGCGACCTGACCATTAGTGATGAGGCAGTAGGAAGCGATGCCCCCTTTCGCCCTTGCTTAGAGCCTTTGCAAGAGGTGTGCCAAGATTTCCGCGCCTCAGGTAAAGGCCTTGAAGCCTCTCTCCTCGCCGCTGTGGCGTCGGGGGGCATGGCTTCCCAGGTTGACCTTTTCCTGGATAGGCGCTCTGCCTCCGCTGAGTGCCAGACTTGTGGGCATCCTTGGGGATGTAAGAAGCATCGATGCTATGTCTGCCCTGCTTTCCACGGGCACCGTCAGACCCTAGGGTTTCAGCGTCTCGTTCAAGCGGGGTCCACCGCCACGGACCCGAGATGGCGCCTGTTTTATACTAGAGGTCTGATGGCGTCGCCCACTAGTTACACACCAAGCCCGATAGTACAGCAGGGGTGGCAGTGGCATGTTTTCCCTAGGCATGGGTTTCTGGAAGGAACCATCTGCTTGGATGGCTCAGCGATTGACCCTCGCCTGCCGTGGTGTTCTCGCGCCGGCTGGGCGGCAGTCTCGGTCGATCGGCAAGGCGCGATTCTGGGGGGCCTGTTCGGCTCCCTCCCACACCCGCTGCAGACCAACCTCGGCGGGGAGTTGTGGGCTCTCTATATGGCTCTGAAGCTAGCAGAGGCTGGCCCTTTAGAGATCTGGACAGATTGTAAAGTGTTGTTTGATGTGTGGAGCTTTGGCCCAGACCAGGACGTCTCGAGGTTTGCGTTTGGTGAGGTCTGGGTTGAGGTCTTGGCCAAAGCTCGCGATATTGGATGGGACAACATCCAGATGTGTAAGATCAAGTCTCACCTTTCGTATAACCATGCTGTTGCTAGGAACTATCCCTTCTACGCCTGGCGGGGCAATCGTGAGGCCGACCGCTTGGCGCGTGAAGGAACCCAGCTCCAGGCTCAGCCCGAGGCTGAGAGGAGCTGGTGCAAGACGGTCGCCCCTGGAATAATGCAAGTTGGTCGTTTTCTCGGGCTGATGTTGGGTGAGGTCTCAAGGCTTGGGCTCAAGGATGTGGAGAGGTATCGTGCCCCCAAGTCCACGAGGCTCGCCAGAGACGCCCCACAGCTCCAATTAGTGGCAGACCCCAACGGACACACGATCTGTAGAGCGGGTAAGAGTTCTGTCTGTGCGGAGTGCGGGACGAAGGCGAGGTCCAGAGGAGCCCTCGCCGTCTTCCCGTGCCGTGGCATCCCTGCCATCGCCGTGTCTGCGCACCATTCCCACGTTCTTTGGATGGGCTCGGGGCCGTCTGGGACTGTGGTGTGGTGTCGGAAATGCGCTGCGTTCGGGGTTGCTCGCAGTCGGTGCCTGAAAGTCCCGTGTCACGAGCGCCCGCGTAATTCGGCCGCTGATAAGTCCTTGGCCATGCTGATTGCAGGCAAGGACCCCAGCTCCCGTGCGGTGTTCGGACGAAGCGTCCAGGTGCCCCAAGGGAGGTAATGTCTTTTCTTGTCGTATTTTTGCTAGGCCTCTTGCGACTGTGCGGGAGTCCTATGCTGCGTTCAACTGGTTCAACTGGAGGTGGAGGTGGAGGTGGAGGAGGAGGAGAAGGAAGAGGAGAGGGATGAAGAGGATTCTGATGATTCTGAAGGCGATGATGACGATGGACGTCGTTCGAAAGTTCACAAACCCACGATCTGCTTGATATAACCCTCTAGAGAAAACCCTGGAATACTTCTGGCGACGGCGACGAAGACCTCAACAGATCTACAGCAGTCTTCGGCGGCCTCTGGAGGCTTCGAGAGTTCCCAAATGTTTTTCGGAGCGCAAAACGGGCCAAAGGCATGCAGAAACGGTCGAACACTTCGATCCTCGATGCTGGAGCCGTCGATCGTCGACGACGACGCCTGCGACGACGGCGGCGGCGGCGGCGACGACGACGACGACGACGTTGACGAGCACGAGACGACGGCGACGGCGGCGGCGGCGATGACGACGGCGGCGCGGCGGCGGCGATGACGGCGACCCTCTGTGGCGCAG